AGGAAAAAAATGTCGAACCTAGTGGTGGTGGTGGACAACGGCGGCGGCCTCATAAAGGGCGGCATCGGCGGCGAGCGAGAGCCGGCGTGCGTCGTCCCCAACTGCACCGCCCGCCCCCCTTCCTCCAAGAAGTGGCTCCTCGCCGACCAGCTCCTCTCCCCCTCCGAGGACCTCACCTCCGCCACCATCCGCCGCCCCTTCGACCGCGGCCACCTCATAAACCCCGACCTCCAGTCCTCCCTCTGGGCCCACCTCTTCACCAACCTCCTCAAAATCCACCCCCCGAGCTCCTCCCTCCTCCTCACCGAGCCCCTCTTCGCCCTCCCCTCCATCCAGCGCGCCGTCGACGAGATCATCTTCGAGGAGTTTAACTTCAAGGCACTCTTCGTGGCGGACTCCCCGTCTCTCGTGCACCTATACGAGGCTTCGAGGAGGCCGTACGGACTCCTCTCGAGGGCTCAGTGCAGCTTGGTGGTCGACTGTGGGTTCAGCTTCACGCACGCGGCCCCGGTTCTCCAGAACTTCACCCTAAATTATGGGGTCAAGAGGATGGATCTCGGGGGAAAAGCGCTGACGAACTATCTCAAGGAGCTCGTCAGCTACCGGAGTGTGAATGTGATGGATGAGAGCTTTATTATGGACGATGTGAAGGAGAAGCTGTGCTTTGTCTCTCTTGATGTGCAGAGGGACCTCAAGATTGCCAGGTCTGGGTGACTTGTTTCTGTGTTTTTTGGAGTTTCTTATTAAGTTCAAATTTTCTGGAATTATTGGATAATAGTTATCTATTAAAATTCTGCTTCAGTTACAAAATATCGACTCAATGGTACACAGATTTGAGATGAAGTATTAAACACCATGTATATGATGATCGTTTGCCAATTTCTATTCGTAACCAGCCCAGGAAAAATATAAAATGTTTGATTATTTGTTTCCTCTCGAGCTATGTGGATGAAAGTCGATGTTTAGCTGTTCATTTAAGACTCCTGCATAGCAATTGAATACCCACGGATATCGAGGCGCTGCATTTTTCTTAAAATGTTTGTTTGTCTTGATTTATGTCCTGGCTATAGTGGAGGTGAGTATTCATAGTTAAATTTATAGATTAAACAAATGAACTCATTGCGTCATTTAAGAGCTTGAAATGAAAGGTTTGTTATTAGTATGGCTGCAGAAAATTATTAAAGGAAGAAGAGTGGGGATGGATGTTTTTATCATTTTCTATTTTTCTTGCATCCAAAATGCAACTTTTAGGTGTTCGGTTTGGAGCTTGATTTATTAAGATTACACCATCCTCATACTGTACATTGTAATTGTTGAAGGCTGGCATGTATGTGATTCTTGCCAAAATGATTACTTTTTTATTTACTGTATTGCTTGATACTAAGGAATGACAAACTGAGCAGTCAGATCATTTTCATGTTTCAGAAATGCACCTTTTAGTTGCTTGTTATGGTGTTTGATTCTTTATGTATGTTAGCATAGTCTTTATGATGGTACTTATCTTGTTGATACTTTGGACTAACTTGCAGAGACCTTGTACATGGTACAATAAATCATACTTTGTAAAGTTATTTGGTGAAATATATAACATGTCATAACCTCATCAATAAAGGTAGAAGTAGGATGGGTACTTGATGTATTTGTGATTTCAATAAACTATTGAAGCGAATGTGGTCATTACTATGTTGCTAAAGTGTGTTGTCTCTTTTTTTTTTTTTTTGTTTTTGTTTTTGTTTTTGCATGTGCAACTTGGTTATGTTGATCTAGAGTATCAAGGCTGATGTGGATCATCTCCCACAAACTGGATATATTGTGGCTTTACCCTTTAAACCATTATATTAGAGTCTTTTTTGTTAACTCTCTCGCGCTTGAAACTGACTTTTCAGGAAATCTGGAGCTGACAATATATTTCGGTGTACTTACGTACTTCCTGATGGTATAACTTATACAAAAGGTTTTGTGAAAGATCCCAATGAAGCAAATAGATACCAAGCCTCGAAAGATGGAACTTCTCCAGCAGGGGAGAAGCATTATGTGGACACACAGCATGTTATTGACAGAACTCGGGAGCATAAGAGCATTGACCTAACAAAAAATGTACTTCCTTCCTTTGGTTCAATTAA